GTGGTCTCAGGGCGGGTCCCGTCGCCTATTTATGACGCGGGCTAGACTTTTGGTCGGTTTCCAACGGCTGTCGTTTCCCATCCCTGAGTTTTGGGATTTTGTCACCTCGGCCATGATTTCAGGCCTGTCGTCCTGCGATCTGGCGCGTGGACGACGCGGTGAGCTTCCCGTTTTAAGACGTGGGCCGTTTGCGGGCCCCTCGTCCTGGGGACATCGTCGGCCATACCTGAGCGTTTCACTTCTAGGCTTACGGGGCCAGGACGATGTGCTCTCTCAGCTAGGCCTGAGCTTGTCGCTCATAGGCTGCAAATGCGAGGGGCCATGTCGGCCAGACCTGAGCCTTTCGCTCTAAGGTGGCCGACAAGGGCGCCTGCTAATGTTTTACTTTGAATTTCCAGAGAAAAAATCAGAACATGATTTTATTCATAAGTGGCTCGAGGCCGAGGGTGGCGTTCAATCAGTAACCCGTTAAGGGGTGAGGGCTTCGCCGTCTGCACCTCCTTCGGATTACTGATAAAACTTCACCAGATGATGTACATTCCATGTTCGTGGTACATTGGATCCATTCGGTCGTTTAAGTTTGTAGGTGCCGGGTTTGACCACGGCACTGACGATGTAAGGCCCTTCGTACTTCAATGCTAGCTTGCCACCCTCTGTCGGCTGGCTTGCTTCCCTTCGGCGGAGGACGTAGTCCCCCACCTGAAATTCCCGAGAACGTACCTTGGCGTCATAGTATGATTTTACTTGACGCCGGTAGTTCTCTGCTCGGACGTAAGCTTGCTCACGCCTCTCATCAACCAGGTGTAAGTCAATCTTCATGTTCTCTTCGTTGATGTCAGGCTCATATTATTCCACTCACCGGCTGGGGATGGCTACCTCCGTGGGCGCCTTCGCCTCAAAGCCGTAACACAGGGCGAAAGGTGTTTCGCCTGTCGCCCTCCTCGGCGTGGTTCTGTAGCACCACAGGATGTTGGGGAGCTCGTCGACCCAATTACCTCCTGCGGCCTGGAGGTTCTTCTTCAGCCCCTCCATTATTGTTCTGTTGGCGTTCTCGACCTGCCCGTTACCCTGAGGATAGGCGACGGAGGAGAAACGGTGCCTCACCCCAAACTCCCGGAGGAGCTCCTGGAAAGGGGCTGCCTCGAATTGGGTGCCGTTGTCTGATATAATCTCCTGGGGGACGCCAAAGCGTGTAACGATGTTCTTGTAAACAAACCTTTGGCATCTGGCCCCCGTGATGCTGGCTAAGGGTTCCGCCTCGACCCACTTGGTGAAATAGTCGACGGCAATGATGATGTAGCGGTTATTCCCGGCGGCTCTGGGCAGGGGGCCGACCAGGTCAATCCCCCATCTGGAGAATGGAATTGCGGTGCTGACAGGGGCATAGTTGACAGCTGGCCGACCAGGGGCCTTCTGGAGTACCTGGCATGTGGTGCACTTCCTGGCCAGGTCAGCGCAGTCCCGTGCCATCGTCGGCCAGAAGAAACCCTGGACGACGAGACGCCGGGACATGCTGAAAGGACCCTGGTGCGAGGAGCAGACGCCACAGTGAACTTCTTCCATGGCGGTATCGGCCTCTTCCTGGTGCAGGCATCGGAGGAGAGTGCCATTGTAGGATCGTTTGTAGAGTTTGCCATCTTCGATGGTGTAGCTTGGGGCCCTGAGTTTGGCGAGTTTGGCCCTCTCCTCGTCCGGGGGCAACTCCCCCGTCGTGATGAAGGTGGCGATGTCGGAGATCCAGTCCTCTGGTCGCTGTTTGACACACAAGACGGGGCTGGCATGGATGCTGGACATGCTCAACTCCTCGATCTTTGCCAACTGGGAGATGTGCTCCGGAGTGTCCGAGCTAAGCTTGGAGAGGATGTCGGCTTCGGCGTTCTCGGCCCTTGGGATCTGGGTGATCTCGTGGGTTTCAAACGCTTTCAGCAATTCCTCCGCCGCTTGTTTGTACTGCTTCATCCGGCCTTCCTTTGCTTCGTACGATCCCTCCACCTGGCCCACTACCAGTTTGGAATCGCACTTGATTCTGAGGTGCTTGGCCTTGAGACCGGCGGCGAGTCTGAGACCGCTGAGGAGAGCCTCATACTCGGCTTCGTTGTTGGATACCCTGAAGTTGAAGCGGATGGCATAGTAGGCTCTGAATCCTTCAGGGGATATGAGGACGACGCCGCCGCCGCATGATTTCGCGGCCGACGAGCCGTCAGTGAACAGGGTCCACGTGTCGTCCGGCTCCGGCCCGGGGTTGGCGACGGCTGTCTCCCTTGCTGTGCATTCGATGACGAAGTCGGCCAAGGCTTGCCCTTTGATAGATGGCCTTGGCTTGATCTCAATTTGAAACTGGCTGAGGAAGATCGCCCATTTCACCATCCTCGAGGAGCTAGTGGGGCTCCTCATGAGCGCGCCAAGAGGCTGCTGGGTCAGCACGTGGACGGTGTGGGCTTGGAAATAGTGCCCCAGCTTTTTCACGGTGTGGACGATGGCCAGCACCGTCTTCTCAATGGGGGAGTACCTGAGCTCGGCCTCCCGGAGTGTCTTGCTGATGTAGAAGATGGCCTTCTGCACCCCTTCGTCCTCACGGATGAGCACGGAGCTGATGGCCGACGTGCTCACCCCTAAGTACAAGAAGAGGGTTTCGCCGGCTTTGGGCTTGGAGAGTACGGGTGGGGACGACAGGTACCTTTTCAACTCGTCGAATGCTTCCTGGCACTCCGTCGTCCACTTGAAGCTGTTTGCCTTGCGCATGATCTGGAAGAAGGGAAGTGCCCTCTCAGCTGACCTGGAGAGGAAGCGGTTCAAGGCCGCCAGGCGCCCCGTCAGTTGTTGTACCTCCTTGACGTTGCGGGGCGGCTCCATGTTGATGATAGCCCGCGTCTTCTCCGGGTTTATCTCGATGCCTCTCCGGCTGACCATGTAGCCAAGGAACTTGCCGCCCTGGACGCCGAAGGCGCACTTCTTGGGGTTAAGGCGGAGTCTGAATTCCTTCATGATTTCAAAGATTTCCCGGAGGTCGTCGGCGTGGGAGGTGGCCTGTCTGCTCTTGACGATCATGTCGTCGACGTACGCCTCCATCGTCCGGCCAAGGACCGCTCTGAAGATTTTAGCCACCATCCTAGTATAGGTGGCGCCGGAGTTTTTGAGTCCGAAGGCCATGACGAGGTAGCAAAATATTCCCTCTGGGGTCATGAATGCCGTCTTCTCGGCGTCATCTTCGTGCATGGAGATCTGGTGGTACCCTCTGAAAGCGTCGAGGAACGACATCAACTCGCACCCCGCCGTCTCGTCCACCAACTGATCAATGTTGGGGAGAGGGAACGGGTCCATGGGGCACGCCTTGTTCAGGTCAGTGTAGTCAACACACATTCTGAACGTCGGCGGTTTCTGTGCGAGGACGACGTTGGCCAACCATGTTGGGTACTTCACCTCTTTGATATGTTTGATCGATAGGAGCATGGCGACCTCCCCTTTGACGAAGTCCCGCCTGTCAGCGGACAAGTAGCGCCGCTTCTGTTTGACGGGCGCGGAGGCCGGATCGACGGTCAGCCGGTGAGTGATCACCTGGCGGCTGATGCCGGGCATATCGTCCGGGCCCCATGCGAAGACAACGGCGTATGACCGTAGGACGAGGAGGATGGCGTCTCGTTGGTCCTGGGGGAGTTGCTTTCCGACCCTGAGAACCCGCTCCGGCCGGGAGGTATCCAGAGGGATTTCCTCGACCTCCTCGGCCGGCTCCGCATGTGGCCTCTCCTCGTCCGTGGCGACGGCGGCCGTGATGGTGTCTATCCGCTGTCCTTCCCTCTCGGCCGGCCTCGTCAACTTGAGGTAGCAAGCTCTGGCTATCCTCTGATTTCCTCTGGCGTAGCCGATGCCGCCATTGGTGGGGAACTTCAAGCATAGGTGCTTCATGGAGATGATGGCCTCCAAGTCCTCCAGCGCTGGCCGGCCCAAGATTAGGTTGTGGGCGCACTGGAGGTTGACCACCATGAACTCCATGTCAAATTTGGCATGATGGGGGCCGTCACCGACTTCCACGGGGAGGACTATCGTGCCCTCGGCGTCGATAGAGTCCCCGGTGAAGCCGGATAACGGGGTCTTGATCGGCTTCAGCAGAGCCCTGTCCAGCTTCAGCTGCTTGAAGGTGTCCAAGTACATCACATTGACGGAGCTCCCCGTATCGATGTAAGTACGGTGGATGATGGAGTCACCGATCTCACATCGGATGACGAGGGCGTCCTTGTGTGATCCCGTACTCGGAGGCAGATCCTTGTCGGTGAAGGTGATCGCCTCCGTCCGCTGCTTCTTCGGCTGGGGGGGAACGTGGGACACCTCCCCAATGTAAAGGGATTGGGCCCATTTCTTTCTCTGGGTGGCGGAGTCCCCCCCAGTGTTCCCTCCTACGATGAGGTGGATGTGATTCTTCTTCGGCGGTGGCTCCTCGAAGTCCTCGTCGTCGCTGAGTCTGCCAATCTCCCGTTTCTTCGCAGAGGGTTCGCCCCCTTTTTTGCCGGTGTTTACCCAAGTGTTCTTGCGTGGGCCACCTTTGACAAACTGGGAGAGTTCCCCCTGGCGAATAAGACGCTCGATGGCCTTCTTCAGGGTAATGCAATCGTCGGTGTTGTGTGACGAGTTCTTGTGGAACCGGCAGTACGTGCCGCCCTGCTGGATGGCAAGGATCTCCTCGGCCGGCCGAGGAGCCTGTTCGATGAGGCCGTGCTTCTCGGCGTAATCGAGGATGGTGCCGACCGGGTGGGTGAGGGTTACCCCCGGCCGTTCCAACCTCGGCCACCAGTGGCGGTCTTTCTTACTTTGTCCACCAGAGCCGTGGCGGCCCTGGGCACCCTGGCCGGCCGGGGACGGACCCGGGGCCGACGAAGGATTTGTCTTCTTGGGGGGATGGCCCCCTTCCCTTTTGTGATTGTGGAGCTCGTCGGCGTCGGCATACAAGCCTCCGCGCTGGAGCGCCTTGGCGTACGACCTCGGGGGGTCAGTGATGAGGCTCCTGGCGTACGGGGAGCTGCGGAGGGCTCCCTGGTACAAGGCGAGGAGGGTGCGCTCATCGGCCCCCTCGATCTCCTCGGTCTCCCTCGTCCACCGATCGATGAATGACCGGAGGGACTCTTCGTGCTGCTGCTTGACGGAGAGGAGGTGGGTGAAATACTTCTTGGCGCGCTTCCTCCCGGCAAAGTGAGTGAGGAAGCGCTGGGCTAGATCTTGCCATGAGTCAATGCTTCCCTCTGGCAGTCCGTTGAACCACTCGTACGCTGGCCCCTCGAGAGTAGAGAGGAACCAACGGCAGAGGTATTCGTCGGACGCGTTCACCATGAGCATGTTGTTTTGATAGCGGCTGAAGTGCTCCTGGGGGTCTGATCGGCCATCGTAGGATTTGATGGCGTTCCCCCTGTACTTCTCAGGGATGGGGGCCGAGAGGACCCTGTTGGTGAAAGGGGTCCTCGTCCTGACCTGGATGATGGGGTCACCCCGCCCTTCGGCCAGCTCCCTCTCCAGGGCGCTAACTTTGTCCATGAGCGCGTTGAGGCCGGGGTCGTTGGAGGCGCCTGCCGTAGGGACGTTGGCCGACTGTTTGGCCTCCATCTGAGCTAGCCTCCTCTCCAGCTGGGCGATGACCTCGTCCCGGGGGTCCCTGGCGGCCGTAGCGCCGCCCGGCTGGTTTCTCATGCGCTCGTTGTGAGCCGCGTTGATCTGGTGACGCACGTCATCCTCGTGCAACTTTCCTTTGCCCTTGTCCGGGCGGGGCTGGTCCGCTGTCCGGGACACAGACCCCAAGCTTTCCCTCGGCGAGCCAGGGCGAGGATCACCAATCCGTCCCGCCACCCTCTCCGAACTTGGACGACGGCGCGTGTCACCAAGCCTATTGAAGGCAGAGGCTTTTCCACGCGCTGGGGTCTGCCCGGGCCGAAGAGGGGAAGCAGGGTGGGAGTGGGACGACGCCGTGTCCTGGGCCACAACCCCCTCATCGTTGCCTATCTGGTCGGCCAGTGGTTGGGGACGAGGAGGCGGAGTGACGTTTCCCCCAGTCCTTGGCAAGAGTGCGCTGAGGACGGTGGGATTCTGAGCCAAGCTGGCGATGATAGCCGACAGTGCGGCCTGGACCTGAGGATCTACGGACGGAGAGGCCGCGGCCATAGGCTGGGCCGGGGCGTGGTCCGCTTTCTCAGCTCGTTTCTTTTCCAGGCCGAGGCGGGCGTCGGGGATCCCGCCGTTGAGTTGGTTGCGGAGGTCCGTCGTGAGGTTGAAGGCCTCCTGGAAGAGGTCTCCTCCACCGACCTGGTCGGCCGTGGCGTCCTCATCGTGCTCCCTGGGCTCTTGGTCCTCAGGGATGACTTTGCTGACGAGGTTGCGGTTGGACTTGGTTCTCCCCATGATCAGTGGTTAGCTGTGCTTGGTAGCGACGAAGGGTGCTAACTTGATTGTTCTAGCTCTCAACGAGAGCACCAAATGATAGATTATTAACTCCTAGATTCTAGAGAGAAGTGAGAGCTAGAGAGAGGAGTGCAATAATATGCTTCAATAGAATGATTTTGTAACCCCTATAACTACTCCCAAGGGGAGTATTTATAGAGAAAATTAGGGTTGGGCTCCCAAGCCTTGGGCTTGGGAGGCCCATTTACAACTGGACCGCTACTGGGCCGAATACAAAGCCACTAATGGGCTGTACAGATGAGTAAGTATAGGATCCGATTCTGGGAGGTCCTCGTGGCCGACGAGGGCGTGGCCGACGAGGGCACGGCCGACGAGGGCACGGCCGACGAGGGCACGGCCGACGAGGGCACCCGGGTTCTTTGGACTTAGGATCATAATCCGGGTTGGCTTCTTCTCGGCCGACGGGGGCGTCTTGGCCGACGAGGGCGCCACTCTGTTGTCGTGTGCTCTGTTCTTCCGAGTACGTGGGTCCTGGGGCTCAGACCCATATACTCCATCATCGATATTCAGATCTCGACATCTGATTTTTCGAGATTCTGCCTCTGAAAATCTTTTGATCAATTTTCTCGAACGGTCAGTTTTAGTACAGCAATGGGTTCAGAATACAATGCACAAGGGAACAGCAGTACCCCTCCTAGCCTCAGGAAGGGAGAATATCAAATGTGGAGGAACAGATTTCTAAACTTCCTCGAGCACAAAGAGAACTCTTCTGCAATGCTCGAATCTTTGCTTGAAGGACCAGCTGAACTCTTGATTTCAGTTGGTGGAGATCCAGAGAACAATCCTCCTATTTTTCCAGAAATAAGGAGAAAAGTGCCGTCTGAATACACAGAAGCTGACAAGCTTAGACTTCGTGGTGACCTTATGGCCAAAACGTATCTCCTTCAAGCAATACCAAATGAAGTTTATGTTCTCATTGATAGCATGCAGACAGCTAAGGAAATGTGGGATGAAATAGAGAAGCTGCTACAAGGCACAAGCATCAGCCTCAAAACAAAGAAGACTACGATTCTCATCGCTTATGACTCCTTCAAAGCAGGTCCAGGAGAACCATTGAATGAGACTTACAACAGACTTGTTCAACTGGTAAATGAACTCAGAAAGATCAAAGTATTCAGGTCCAATCTGGAACTGAATATTAGATTTTTATCCAGCCTGCATCCTGCATGGGAAAAGACAGTGAAGGATGTCAGATCACGGATAGATTTGGATGAAATTGACCTCTGCACACTCTATGAACATCTGAAACAATTTGTCAACGAGGTTGCCTGTGCTGAGGATCATCACACCACAAACCCCTTAGCTCTAGTAATGGATGCTCAGCCAAGAAGGACAACCACTTCACTAAAGAAGAAAAAGAAGAAGGTGGTGGTTGAATCAGATGATGATGAGAGTGACGATGACAAATCTGACCTAGAGGCTGAGCTAGCAGACTTACAGAAGAAGATGGCACTGCTGGCCAAAAGATTTGCTAAGAAGAACACCTCCTCCAACAGGCTGAGAACTTCCTCCTCAAACTACAAGCAGAAGAACCACGATCAAGGATCTTCTAGGAAGGCATCATCAGCAGAAGAAGCTCCTAAATGTTATAATTGCGGCAAGCCTGGACATGTGATCAAAGACTGCCGCCTCCCAAAGAAGAAAGATGCTAACTTCTACAAGCAGAAGATGCTGTGGAATAAGCAGAAAATGTTGATGGTGCAGAAAGAAGAAGAAACCTCTGCCATGATTGCTGAAAATGAGAATTGGGCAGAAGATTCTTCTGAGGAGGAGGAAGAAGAAGACAACTATGCTCTTATGGCAAGTGTGGAGGGAGATGAAATAAAGGGTGATGCTGCGATCCCCGAAAGCAAGTGCTCAACAAGCTCTGTAAGTACCTCTCATACTTCTTTAAATAATCAAATGCAGTCCTTACTTGAAAAGGACAATCTAATCAAAGAACTGAAGGAGAGACTAGACAATAATCATAGAGTTCTGAAACAGAATCTAGACCAAAAGTCTTCCTTAAGTATTCAACTTGAAATTGCAAAAGATCAAGTCAAAAAGGTGTCCTCAGGTTTTGAAAGCTTTGAACTTAAGATAGCTGAATTAACTAAGAAATTTGAGGACAGTGAACGGGAAAAAAGCACAGCAAAGGCTGAATGCGATTTTTTGCATAACAAAAGAAGAACGCTTTTAAATAAAGTAAAAGAACTAGAAGATCTAGCTGCTAGAAGAGGTCAATCTGAACAAACTGTTTTTCTGCTTAACAACAAACAAAAGGATGACCGATTCTACAATGCTAAAACAGGACTGGGCATAACTAACCCACGTAATCTTAAGAAAGTTAATTGCCTTCAAATCTATAACAAAGATTACATGGGACTAGGGTTTGGTGAAAAAATGTATTTTCGAAGTGATGAAGATTATGCTGAAGCAGAAGAAGAAAAGAGAAAGAAACCAAAACCTGCGATTTCTTGTGATTATCCCTCTGTAAATGAAAAACAACTTTCAGAAGAAAAACCTACTTCCTGCTTTAGTGAATGCCTTGACCCTTATGCCAAAGATATTCCTCACATAGGACACCCTCTAGACCCTCCCCCAAGAGTAGGTATTGCTAAAACTGGTGAGGAACCATGTATTTTTCCCATGGCTCAAAAGCTCAAAAACCTACAGAAAACTCTTGATAACGAGAGAGAGAGATTTGAAAATGAAAAGAAAGGTTTTGAGCGCAACTGGCAGGAACTTCTTCAAAAATTTAATGATTTGAGTGAGCAGTTTCATGCTAAAACAGACCCTTCTACGACCAAGCCTGACAGCTCACACACCTCACATGAGAAAAATAATGCTTTTAAAGGTTCGTCCACTCATCTCTCTTCTCCTTTGTTTACAGGGAATGAAGTGAATAAGGAAGGAGAAGAGAAGAATGAGTGGAGGAAAAAGAGGAAGGAAATCGCAGATGGCAAAAAGAAAGTTTTTGAGAAAAGTGCCAGCCCTAGATCTAGTTCAATATTTTACTCAAAAGTTAATTGTAATTCTGTCTCTACAAAGCAAACTTCTAGCAGTTCAGTCTTGAGTCCCAAGCTGAATATTTCTGAGACATCTTCTAGACAAAGTTCTATTTATGATACAAGTGTTGCTTATGGTTATTCTGTTCCAGATCCCCATAATTATGAATGTGATATGAATGTTGTTAAATCTAAGCCTTCCAGAAAGCTTAAACCTGAAAAAGAAACCAAGAAAGGAACTTCTAAGGGAACGTTTTGTATTCCAGATATGAAATATGCCCTTAGAGTTGATTCTAGGAAACATGTCAATCGGCTTTCTAAGGAGGAGATTTTCAAAACCAAACTCAAGAAACAACCGTTCAATCACAAAGCACCTGTCTACTCTCCTCCTGAACCTAAAACAAAAAGATGGGTCCCCAAGATAAGACCCGTCAAAGCTGAAACGGAAAGGTGGGTCCCCAAGATGAAACCTACCAAACCTGAATCGAATAGGTGGGTCCCCAAACGAAGACCCATCCAAACTAAAACTGAAAGGTGGGTTCCCAATCGTAGACCCATCATAACTGAAACTGAAAGGTGGGGTCCAAATCGAAGACCCATCATAACTGCAACTGAAAGGTGGGTCCCCAAACTTAGACCCACAAGGACTAAAATGGAAAGGTGGGTTCACAACATCAGACCCACCAAAATGGAATGTGCTAGGTGGACTCCAAAAACCAGACACACTGCAAAAGCAGATCTGGCTATTGGAAAGCCCATCAAAGATAGATCTTTTGTTGAAAGAGCAGCTGACCTTGGATCACTGCTCAAAGCAAGATTTAAAAAGGTGTTTCTTGATAATAAGGAAGGACCCACTCCAAGTTGGGTACCTAATCCTATTTGATTGTTTTGCAGGACGGTCATGTGTGGCACTTAGACTCAGGATGCTCAACCCACATGACCGGAATAAAGCACCTTTTGAGCAACTACACCAACTGCTACGGAGGAAATGTCAGATTCGGGAATGACGCCTCATCTCCTATCCTTGGGTATGGGGACGTCATCTGTGCCAGCGTCACAATAAAAGATGTTTCATTCGTCAAATGGCTCAAACACAACTTACTGAGCATTGGACAATTCTGTGACAGCGAGATGGAAGTAAGGTTCTTTGCAAAACAATGTTGTGTTCTTGACAGCACAGGGAATACATTATTAACGTGTTACAGAACATCAAATCTGTACACTATTGATCTGAAAAGCGTCCAATCCACCACTTCCATCTGTCTGCTGTCCAAAGCTTCAACTGAACAGAACAACCTATGGCACAGACGTCTCTCCCATCTGAACTTCAAACATCTATCAACTTTGTCCTCCAAGAAACTTGTCAAGGGGCTTCCTCTGCTAAAGTCTTCCGCTGAAAATCATTGTAGTGCCTGCAAAATGGGCAAAATGACGCGAAGCTCCCACAAGTCAAAAACCGAACCTTCATCTACTCATCAGTTGCAGCTAATTCACATGGATCTGTGTGGACCTATGAGAGTACAAAGCATCAACGGTCGCAAATACACTCTGGTGATCGTTGATGACTTCTCTAGGTATACATGGACAAAAATTCTTCGATCAAAAGACGAAGCTGCGGAAAACATTATGACCTTTATCAGAACGATCCAGAAACTGCTACAGCACAGTGTTCGAATTGTGAGAACTGACAATGGTACCGAGTTTAAAAATCAGACTCTCACTGAGTTCTATGAATCACTCGGTATCACTCAGCAATTTGCAGCAGCTAAAACTCCCCAGCAGAACGGAGTTGTTGAGAGAAAGAACAGAACCCTTGTTGAAGCAGCACGCACCATGTTAATCCAATCAAGACTGCCTCACTTCATGTGGGCAGAGGCAATCAATACCGCGTGCTTCACTCAGAACAGAACCTTCATCCACAAGCGCTTCGACAAGACTCCATATGAGATCCTATTCAACAAAACTCCTGATATTTCTTTCCTCAAGGTTTTTGGCTGCAAGTGCTTCATACTCAATGATCGGACAGAGAGAAGTAAGCTGGATCCCAAAGCCAGAGAAGGCGTGTTCATTGGCTACTCACTGCAATCCAAAGCTTACAGAGTCTATCTCAGAGACAAGCGGACTGTCATCGAGAGTGTAAACGTTACATTCTATGAAATGGCAGACTTCGCTATTGAACATCTCCAGACCGATCCATCCACTGCTGTACCAGTAGCTTCTGATAAAGCTGAACCAAACACCGAACACGACGATGTGATTCTCGACTCTCTCTTCAGAAACTTTTACGAGAACTCACAATCTCCACCTCCTGCATACACTCCAGAGTCAACATCAACTCCAACAGCAGAGATTCCGCTTCTCACAGGACCAGATGACGTACCATCCACACCCTCAACCCCTCAAACCAATCCCAGAGGTGTGGATGATCACGGCTTTGCCATAAGTCCGGAATCATCTCCACTACACACCACAGCTGCCCCAGAGCCTTCAAACTCATATCAGGACTCAGATCAACCAATCATTACTCCAACTCCTCTAGCTCATGAGAGGAAGTGGACAAGAGCACATCCTGTTGAACAGATAATAGGTGATCCAAGTCAAGGTGTGCGAACAAGATCAGCAACAACAAATGAATGTCACTATGCATGCTTTCTAAGCAAGAATGAACCGTCCAAAGTCTCAGAGGCACTCGCTGATCCAGATTGGGTGATTGCCATGCAAGATGAGCTCAATCAATTTGACAGACTAGATGTATGGACACTCGTGCCTAAACCCCCTCAGAAAACCATCATTGGCACAAAATGGGTGTTCAAGAACAAGAAGGACGAAGAAGGCATAGTGATACGGAACAAGGCACGACTGGTCGCTAAAGGATATAATCAGCAAGAGGGCATAGACTATGATGAAACATTTGCACCCGTAGCAAGAATTGAAGCAATCCGCCTTTTTCTTGCGTACGCAGCCCACAAGAACTTTACTGTCTTTCAAATGGAAGTCAAGACTGCCTTTCTGAATGGAGTCTTGGAAGAAGAAGTCTATGTCGCTCAGCCCGAAGGATTCATAGATCCCAGATATCCCGACCATGTGTACAAGCTGAAGAAAGCTCTGTATGAGTTAAAACAGGCTCCAAGAGCTTGGTATGATGCCTTAACCGAATTTCTGGTTGATTCAGGTTTCTCAAAAGGGAAGATTGATACTACACTTTTCATCAAGCGACAGAAGTCTGACATCATCCTGATTCAGATCTATGTTGATGACATTATCTTCGCCTCCTCAAATCCACGTCTGTGCAAACACTTTGAGAACTTGATGAAAACCAAGTTCGAAATGAGCATGATGGGCGAGCTGAATTTCTTTCTAGGCCTGTAAGTAAGACAACTCTCTGACGGCATTTTCATCAATCAGTCAAAGTATATTCTGGAAATGCTTAAGAGATTCAACGTTGACGGCAAATCTTCCATGACGACCCCCATGTCCCCAAACAACAAACTGGACTCAGATCCCTCCGGGAAGCCAGTTGATGCTACAAACTACAGGGCCATCATTGGATCTTTGCTTTATCTCACATCAAGCAGGCCTGACATTGTCTTCTCCACATGCTTATGTGCACGCTTTCAGGCAAATCCGAAGGAATCCCATCTGACCGATGTTCGAAGAATTCTGAGATATCTCAAAGGCACTGTGAATCTAGGCCTTTGGTATCCCAAGCACTCAGGTTTTGACCTAGTCGGATATTCGGATGCTGACTTTGCTGGTTGCCGGATGGACCGCAAAAGCACGTCGGGAGCAGTCCAATTCTTGGGCGATAAGTTAGTCTGCTGGTCTTCCAAGAAACAGAACTGTGTGTCAACATCTACGGCCGAGGCGGAATACGTCGCGGCTGCTAGCTGTTGTTCACAAATATTATGGATGAAGACCCAGCTAAAGGACTACGGTTACACTCTCCGCCATATCCCGATCTACAGTGACTCACAAAGCGCCATAGCCATCACCAGCAACCCAGTCCATCACTCCCGCACCAAACACATCGACCTGCGCTATCATTTCATCAAGGATCATGTGGAGAAAGGAGACATTGACATGTATTTTGTAAGCTCAGAGCTTCAACTGGCTGACTTGTTCACTAAGGCATTGGATGAAAAACGATTCCAGTTCCTAGTCTCCAATATGGGCATGTTGAACCTCGAGCCCGTTTAATTATGTCTCCACTGATCTAAAAAGTGTGTGTGTGTGTGGGACTTGTAAAAAGTGTGTGTGTGTGGGATTTGTAAATAGTGTGTGTGCGTTGCATGTGTTGAGGGGGAGAAAACCAGAAAAATAACAAAAATAGTGTGTGTGCGTTGCATGTGTTGAGTGGGTGAAAAAACAAAAAAAGAACAAAAATAGTGTGTGTGCGTTGCATGTGTTGAGTGGGTGAAAAATCAAAAAGAACAAAAATAGTGTGTGTGCGTTGCATCTGTACATATTGTTCGTTGCATTTTTTGAGGGGGAGAAAATTTTCACTGTTTGAGGGGGAGCTAATTTTCACTGTTTAAGGGGGAACTCTCTATTTTTTACTGGTTTTGGGCCTCGAAAATCTTTTAAAAGGGCACTGTGTGCCAGCCCAATAATTCGGGCTCAATTGTTACGGAGGAGGTCCAAATTTTTTATCGCGTATATAAGCCTCGCGAAAAACTCTTCTCTTCCCATTCTGTTTTTTTTTTCAAAGATCAGAGTTTTTCGCTAGTCAGAGCTCTCAGACCGACTTATCTTCTTCTTCCCAAAAACTTCTGTTACCGCAATCTTCATTCTTCTTCTCTCTCTCTCGACTACTCTCTTGAAGGTAGTTCTTCGTTCGAGTTCATTAAAAACCGAATTTACTCGAAAAATCGTTCTTGCTCAAACGCTCGTAACTTCTCAAAATCAAAAAAAAAATAATAAGGATTTTTCATTTGAATGTATGAATCTTGTTGTTATCGTTTTTTTGGTATATCGTTGTATTTGCAGGTGGAGTCTTCGCTTCGAAATCACGATATCGAGATTTTGGATTTCTAGATCTCGAGATCGTCGATTCATCTTCTCGAAATCAAGATCTCGAGATGGGCATCTCGACATCTTGATCTCGAGATTTGAATCTCGAAATCAAGATCTCGAGATCTGCATCTCGACATCTTGATCTCGAGATTTGAATCTCGAAATCAAGATCTCGAGATATGCATCTCGACATCTTGATCTCGAGATTTGAATCTCGAAATCATGATCTCGAGATTTGAATCTCGAAATCAAGATCTCGAGATCTGAATCTCGAAATCATGATCTCGAGATATGAATCTCGAGATTTGAGATTTGAACCTAGAATTTTTTTCAAAACTCCATCTGCATAAACTTATCTGAAAAACAACAAATTAAATTCTTTCAAAATCAAATCAACAGTTGAACTTCATGTGCTGACCCCTGCTTCTACAGTTTAAAATGGCAGGAAACACTCAAACACAGATTGACGACGCCATCTACCCTAAGGGCAAGTGGATCAAGGTGCTGGACAACAACTTCCTGAATTCCTGAATATTTCATCTTAAAATCTTTAGGAATAAGAGACTCAGAATATAATATATCTCCTATACTTCTTACCTTCAGCCGAGATAAGCTATAGACCCAAGTTTGAGTATATAATTTGATAGTCATTATAATCTTATCTGAAGAAGCATTAGAGTCTCCCGACCCCCAAATAATATTGGTATACGATTTCCAAATATGTCAGAGAGGGATTCCCACAATGTTTCGTTGAAAATCCCAAATAGACTGTTCTTCTGAGATTGAGGTCTCCAAGTCTTCAGAAAAGAGTAATTCTGACTAGTAGAATAGATGTCAAAAATTCCTAAAAAATATTGCCAGGCCTGCTTAGCAATAATACAGTGACAGAATAAGTGATTCAAGGAGTCACTTTCCTTCCTACAGTGAGCGCAAATTGAAGGATTTAACACCTTCCTAAATCTGTTCAGTTTGTCAGTAATTGGAAGAATCCCTTTCACTATCTTCCATTGAAGAATCTTCATCTTAAGCTCCTGATTAGTACTCCAAATCTGCTCATAAATAGTAGAATTAAATGATAAATCTCTAACTTCTTCAAATGCAGATTTGAAAGAGAATTGTCCATCTTCCTCTCCATTCCAAGTGATAACTCCTGAGGTATCAGCAGAAACAAGACTAGTGGCTTGTTCATCAATGGCACAGATCCTTCTCCAGATTGCAGAGTCAGTAAGTTTAGCCGCCATATTACCTCCCCTATTATATCTAGCTCTGAAAAACTGAGACCATAAAGAGTTTCCTGTTTTCCATTTCCACCACAGTTTCAGGGTAAAGGCCTTTTCCATGTCTGAAAGAGACCTAATACCCAGCCCCCCTTCCGTGGTAGGATAGCACAATTTATCCCACTTGAGCCAAAGATATTTATTTTTCTCACTAGTGGACCCCCAAAAGAATGAAGCCATTTTGTTATTAAGCACCTTAACAACTTTCTTAGGAAGACAATCAACAACCAAGGTATGTAGAGGTATAGCATTAAGAACATGTTTAATAAGAATAAGCCTCCCTCCTTGTGACAGATTTTTTTTGTTTCCAAGGTGAGAGTTTATTCTCAAACTGCTTTATCAGATTACCACAAAACTAGAATCTATTAATTCCTTTATGAAGATTAACCCCAAGATATTTAATAGGCAGAGAAGTCATTCTCATACCTAGGAGATTTTTAATCCTTGTCATTCTAGCTGGAGAAGCTTTACCACAAATAATAGAGCATTTATCACAATTAACCTCCTGTCCAGACGTATCTTGATAAGAGCTTAAAAACTTCTTGAAATTTAGAATAGATCTAGCTTCTCCATTCAGAAAAACTAGAAGGTCATCTGCAAACCCCAAGTGAGAAATAGATGAAACTGAATTTCCCATTTGATATGATTTAATCCTTCCAATCTCAAACATGTGTTTCAATCCCCTAGAAAAGACTTCTGAGGCTATAATGAATAAAAATGGAGACAAAGGATCACCCTGCTTGACCTCCCTTGATGGTTTAAAAAACCCTTGTGGAGTTCCATTTATTAAAACAGATAAATAAGTAGCCTGAAGATGATTCATAATCAGCTTAATAAATTGGTTTGAGAACCCAAACCTGAGAAGAAAAGCTGTAAGAAACTGCCATGAGACCTTATCAAAAGCCTTGGTCATATCAAGTTTAACCACCAAATTAGTACCCCTAACTTTCTTATCAATATGATGAATCAACTCCTGAGCAACAAGAATTTGATCTGCAATATCCTTTTCATTTTTCATTTTCATTTACCTCAGTGCCGCAAAGGTTCCCACCTACGGTGGGGTAAGGGGGGTCGGATGTACGCAATCTTAACCCTGTACTAAAGCACAGAGAGACTGTTTCCGGATGACCCATAGTGAAAATCCCGTCCAAAATTGCATGGACTGGCTGATGCTTCATAACAAAGAAGCGCAGACAGTTTAGTGAGCCATTTTGCTTTATTCCATCATAATCTCAAGCCAAAAAATAATGAATCTTTGGTTCCATTGCAAATGATGGAAAATTGATCTGCAATATCCCTATTGGCCATAAATCCAGCTTGTTCAGGAGAAATAATTTTAGGGAGAATGCCTTTCAGTCTAGTAGCCAAATTTTTTGTAAAGACCTTACTTATAAAATTAGATAAGCAAATAGGCCTAAAATCTCCAAAAGTAGAAGCTCTGTCAGACTTAGGAATTTGGACAATTAAAGAGCTTGCAATAGCCTTGGGTATAGGCAATCCCATAAAAAATTCCTGAACAGCTCTAACCACATCATCCCCAATAATAGACCAACACTTCCTATAGAATTTACCATGAAAACCATCAGGACCTGAGGCACTGTTCTGACCCAGAGCCCACACAGCATGTTTAACTTCCTCTGCATTAGCTAATTGAGTCAGTAAATCATTGTCCTCTTGATCAATCAAAGTAGGAATATGAGACAAAATATTCTGACTATATTCATTATGATTAGCTGTATAAAGATCAGAGAAAAAATTAGCAGCAGCTTCACCAATTGATGAAGGGGAGGTGAGTTCCTGACCATCTTGGCTTTTTATGCAGGTAATGAGTTGCTTTCTCCTTCTAATATGAACAAAAGAGCGATAAAAATGAGTATTGCTATCACCTTCTGATAGCCATTGTAAGTGAGCCCTTTGTTTCCAAAACTTCTTCTCCAATTTATATTTTTGTGTCAAAAGAGCCCTCTTGAAAAACCAAGTCTCTCTGTTCTATACAGTAGGGTAATCTTCATAAGCTTGTTCAACATAGAGCACTTCTTGTTCACAGTTTTTGATGTCCTAAAAAATATTTCCAAAAACTTCCTTATTCCAAATTTTCAACTCCTTCTTTAAGTGCTGCAATTTTAAAACAAGACCTCTCATACCACCCCCTGTTTTAACTGCATTCCACTGAGTCTTCAAAAACTCTATAAAAGTGCTATGAGTAAACCAAATATTTTGAAATCTAAAAGCTTTAGGCCCAATTAGGCTTAGGTTAGAACACTGAATAAGGATAATGGCATGATCAAACGGAGTCTTGTTAAGGACATTAATCTGAATCTTATCAAATTTATCCAAAAAGAAATTATTAACAACCACCCTTCTCCAGACTCTCCCATTTGATCTATTTCCTGCCCAGGTAAATTTGGAACCCTCATAGGGTAAATCAATCATATTAGAGGCAGAAATGCAATCAGAAAAGTCGTTTATACCTCTGACAGGTGATACTGAGTTACCAAGATGTTCACTGTATTTAATGATGTTTGGCACAAAGAGTCCCACAATTCTTTTCTGACTGCAGGAGTGTGTCTGCCATAAATACCAATAGCCCATCCAGAAAAAGCACCTCCTTGAATTCTGCAATGAACATACTGAGAATGCCAAGTAAAACCTGAAAGTGTCACCGCAGAGGGATCCCAGAAGATCCAGATTTTGTTGATAGCAGAAGAGGTAACTGCTTCCAAACCAAACTCCTTTTTATATTTTTCAATTTTGTTGTCATCAACCATGGGTTCAATAATAAATAGAATATCCAGCCTCCATTGTCTAACTAGGGAACCAAGCCTGGAACTGGAGGATTCCAGGCCCCTAGTATTCCAGAACAAACAATTCATTGGGCAATGGAAGGGTGGGACTGCCCCTTAGCCACACTCCTAGTATTTCTCTTTGATAAATTCTCCTCTTGGTTTTTCTTTTTAGAAGTCCTCCTATTCACTTTAATAAAACCTTCCTCATCCATCTTTTTTTCCTGTTGCTGAACATGTTGCTCCTCAATAGGAATGGCTTGAGTTTGCTCCAAAGTATTCATCTTTGTTTCTTTCTTATCAGATGTATGCATGGGTTGTTGTTGTGCTTCTACATGCTCAAGAGGACCTTGATCAGAGTGATCAATTCCAGACTCAGTATCACGACCTTGCATCTTCTGCACCAAATTGTCCACCTTTTCATAGATGTCAGACCAGGAGTCCAAGAAGTTATCAGGCTGAACTTCAGTCTCATGCTCCCCATCTGATAAGCAGCCCTTGTGGATAATTATGGCTTTACCCCCAATCTTATGTTCCATGTTCTTTATGAAAGTGTCATCCTTAATCCTTTGTATGTCATTAGGATGTATAGAAAGAACACCCGAAATTTCACTGTGAAGTATTTCTTTGATCTGACTTTTAATCATTGCAGATTGCTCAAGTGGATCATGGAACTCCTCTTCTTCATCATCAATTAGAATCTCTTCAAGAATAACCTTAGAAATAGATTGTTTATTGTAATCAATATGCTCTGTAATTTTTTCCTTGCCTTTTTCCTTCCTTGTAAATTTAGCAATGTTCTTTTTAGGTGCCCAGGTCTCTTTGACCACTCCCTGATGAACCTCCTGCCGCTTAGGACATTTCAACTTTGAGTGACCTAAGTGTAGGCAATCAGAACAATACTCCCGTCTATTTTCATAGACAATGGATTGTGCAAAGCTAGCATTCCCACACCCAATCCAAACTTTATTAGGCATTTCTTTCATAAGATCCAACTCTACACAAATTCTTGCCACTGCCGGCCTAGAAAGGGTTGCGGTGGCTGAATCTATTTTCAACGGCTTTCCAACCAAACTAGCTATATGAAATAAAGCTTGTTTATCTTGCAAGTGAATAGGGAGACCTTCTAGAGAAAGACAAACCGGAACAATGGATGATTCAACATTAGGTTTAAAATTCGGAGTCCACCTTGTGAGTCTCATAATTTGGCCCCTAATAGACCAAGATTGTCTATTCCAACATCTTATGAAATCTTCTTCTAAATCAAATCTGATAAGAACATGTTTGGGATCAAGAACACCCAAATGAAAACCTCCTTTGAAGCCAATTATCTCAAACGATTTCCTCAAAACCACAAGATTAGGCTTACCTTTGAAAAAATAGCCGATCAAGGCACGCTATGTTTGTCAGCCAACAAACGAACACTATCCACCGAAAATTGAATTGATGGTAAACCCTTAAATTTTGAACGGGCTGGTTCTGCCGATGATGGAATCATCCCTATTTGCAACAACATCTGCAAAAGATTTACCATTCCAAACCGTACCACCTCCTCCCGGCGGCTGTGCCGCCACCGATGTAGTTATTGCCATACGTCGTCGCCAGAGCTCTCGCCTATCCTGATCGCCCCCGTGTTAAATACCAACACTTTATATCATTTTTTTACACTTTTAAACGTGTAGAACATCCCCGCTAGGCTTCGTTTTCTATCGGATTCGCTTCTCCTCTTAGCCCCTTTTTCTCTCTGAGCTTGCTCTATGAGAATAAAGCTCTCCATGGCCCTCCTCACTTCTTATGTAGCCTCTCATGTATTTTTAGACACTAATTTTGCATGTCATTCACATCGATTTGGTGGCTGTGCACAAAAATAAGTTGTTTGTGTACACACACAAAAATTACACAAAGACAAAAATATATGGTTACAAACATTTTCTGTCTGTATACAGACAATTGATGTGTGTGTATATGAACATTGGTTTGTGTGTAAATCACATTGAACTGTGTGCTCTTATTTTTGCAGAAACGTTAGAATTAAGTTGTCTGTGTACACAAATAAAAGTGTGGCTAAGACAAAAAATGTATGTGTACACAACTTATGCTGGTATATATTGGTTTACATGTAAGTCACATTAATTTGAGTACTTTTTTGCAAAATTGTTAGTATTAGGTGGTATAGAAACCAACATTTATGTACGTAGACATTAGTTGCCAAAAATGTGTCTGTACTCGTATATTTTTTGTTTATACACACAAACATTGGTTTATGTGCAACTTACTCATGACTTTTCTAACATTTTTGGCATGTGTACACAAACACTGAACGAAAACGGTGTCTGTTATGCATACATTTTTTGTTTGTGGCTAAATTTGGTAAAATGTCACTAACAATGTAAAGAGAAAATAAAGGTGAAAATAATGGTGAATATGGAATATGAAATCAAGGTAAAAAGAAAGAACTTTACAAATTTAGGACTTGAAAAATATATGAATTATCAATTTGGGTCTAAAAAAGATGAAATATGTTGGTATAGAGTCCGAAAGATTGAAAACTATCAATATAAAACTTAAAATTTCATATGTTTTGAGTTTTCTAATTTTATATTGATTCCGTCACTAATTTTATATGAATATTCCTTCACAAAAGTTTACTAGATTTATTAAAAAAATATTTTAAAACTTTAAAATAAAAAAATAATAAAATTTATGACAACTTAAGTGCCAGTAGGGATGGATTCGGGCTGGGTCGGGCCCGGTCGGGCCGCCGGTTCTAGAATAGTGGGTCCGGGACCGGCCCGAGGGTTGGACGGGTCCGGTTCGGGCCGGGCCACCCGCCCGGGTCACGGGTCGGGCCACCCGCCGGGCCGGGGCGGGCCGGGTAAATTTTTTTTTTTTTAATTTATATTTTATACTTTATAGTTTTATACAAGTATTAAAAAACAAACTTCAAGTGCATTTATTTGAAATGAAATAGGAACTACATTTGAAAATTAAATAGGAACTATAATTGTTTTTAATCGGAATCTCCGGCATAAGTAGAGCCACCCTCTGTAGATTCATCCATAAAGTGTTGGGATGGAGTGATGTCAATTTCTTGAGCTCTACGTGCTGCTTTCAACCAATCGTGGTAGCATATAAGCATCTCAAGAGATTCAGCGCTCAACCTCGTTCTGGTTTGTGTTAGAACATTGCCGGCCGAACTAAATTCTTGTTCCACGGCAACCGTTGAAACCGGCATTGATAGCACTTGCTTAGTCATCTTTGCTAAAACCGGGAACATTCTTTCTTTTCCCTTCCACCAGTTTAGTACGTCAAAATCATCATCTTCTTCAAAATCAACATCATAAGTTAAATACAAAGAAATCTCATTAATTGTGCTTTGTTGTGTAGCGGGAGTTGATTTTGTTTTTTTAATAAGATTGGCAAACGTAGATTTGAAAATTGATTTTCCTTTAGATGATGTTTGTGTCGGGGGAGGGGGCGCATTGCCATATTGTGCATGAAACTCATTGAATAATGCATAAAATATATCACTAACCTCGTTGTATTCTTTTTTCGGATCAATTGGGTTGTCCTCATACATTGGCAATGGACCAAAAAAGCAGAATAATAATAATTCAAACATTCTTCTAAAGAACCAAGTCTAAAACGAGGATCGAGAACAAATGCAATACCATAAATATGCGGAATATGTGAATAATATTTTAAAAACTTTTCCTTCATAAAACCAGCAAAATAATTCACATAATCAGCATTCTCAAAATTTGAAAAAGCACCGGCGAGATTAACAGCTTCACGAATAAATTGGTTTGAGGTAGGTTTATAAACATGACTAAAAGTTTCAGTTGCATTATTAAAATATATCAAAGCATTACAAATTTTTTCACAGGTGTCGATCTCAGCCGAGTTTATAATATAGTTATCATATTGTTTCATAAAAGCAGGAAAATGTTGTTTATATCTAAGAAGAACTCCAATTAACTTATAGGTACTATTCCAACGAATAGACAAATCTTTTGGAAAAGCCACATATCTCTCACCTCTTTCTATCAAATAATCATGCCATTTTTTCCTAAAGTGTCCATTACCCCAAATACGTCTAATCCCCCCCTTGACTACCTCCAACGATGCTCCCAACGCTTTTAGACCATCTTGCACACATAAATTTAGAACATGACATGCACATTGTTGATGAAAAAATCTACTCATCAAAGAAGTAGAACCACACAATTCACGCAATCTAGGAATAGCAGCAGTATTATTAGTAGCATTATCAAAACCAATAGCAAACGCCTTATCAATTAAATTATACTCAATTAAAATACGTTCAATCAAAATATAAATATGTTCAGCGGTGTGACGATCATTAAATTCACGGAAAGCAAGAACACGTTTATGCATATGCCAATCATTATCAATATAATGTACAGTCAGACCCAAATAATGTAAATTATGATAAGTATCCTCCCATATGTCAGAACATACAGTAACACGTCCATCAAAGTTTGCAAAATAATTTTGTAACCTTACTTTTTCCGCACCATAAAGCCTTGAAATTTCTTTCTTAACCGTTTTGCGACTATAACCTCTATATTGCGGATTTAAACAAGTTTGTGCATAATCACGAAAAGCAAGACTTTCAGAAAACAAATAAGGCAAATTTTCTTCAACAAGTAAGTTAGCCATACCTGTCAAATTTTGTGCATCATTGTATGAGAATTTACCAAAAGCTTGTTGGTTATTTGCAAACCTCGATGTTCGTCGGTCATCGCATCCTCATCCCTCCTTACGTAACCCGTATCAAAATCATCTTGACTTTGAGATGAAGAGCCGATATGTGATTTACCTTTGCGGGATCTCTTCCTCGCAAGCTCGTTCGTTCGGTTGCGCTCGAGGTTACCCATATCAACCGAATATCTAGGACGATCCATCTAAAAAATGTAGCAATTAATAAAAAATTGTAAAAAACTAATTAACTATTTATCTAACTATTAATTCGAGTTATAGCAAATTAAGTAGTGAATTAACTAGTTTTGTGTACAACATATTTTTTAAACTAGAGTCAAATGTAGCAATTAATAAAAAAATTGTAAAAAACTAATTAACTATTTATCTAACTATTAATTCGAGTTATAGCAAATTAAGTAGTGAATTAACTAGTTTTGTGTACAACATATTTTTTAAACTAGAGTCAAATGTAGCAATTAATAAAAATTGTAAAAAACTAATTAACTATTTATCTAACTATTAATTCGAGTTATAGCAAATTAAGTAGTGAATTAACTAGTTTTGTGTACAACATATTTTTTAAACTAGAGTCAAATGTAGCAATTAATAAAAAATTGTAAAAAACTAATTAACTATTTATCTAACTGTTAATTCGAGTTATAGCAAATTAAGTAGTGAATTAACTAGTTTTGTGTACAACATATTTTTTAAACTAGAGTCAAATGTAGCAATTAATAAAAAATTGTAAAAAACTAATTAACTGTTTATCTAACTATTAATTCGAGTTATAGCAAATTAAGTAGTGAATTAAACTAATTAAACAAGTGTAAATAATAGAATAATTTCGTACCTCTTTCGGACTTTCGGTCTTTCGGATGGGAGTAATAGAATGACTTCAAATTAATTAGATATAATTCCAACTATATTAATAGATATAATAAATATATAAGTAATATATAATTAGATAACAAATATAAGTAATATAATACTATTTATATCTATTTATAGTTTATATAAGTAGATAATTAATATAAACTATAAATAATAAATATAATATATTGGAGAATGGAGAATAAGAGAATTAGAGAGTAGAGAGTTAAGAATAGGATTTAGGAAGAATTGGAGAAGAGATATGAAAAAATGTTTAAGATTAGGAGTATTTATAGGGTTTTTTACCCCCCACCCCACCCCCCACCACCCCACCCCCCCGGACCCCCCCTTTACCCCACCCAACGGCTATATAGCCGTTTGGGTTGTCCCCAGCCCCACCCCCAACGGCTAGTAGGAGCCCAAATTAAAAAAAAAAAAAAAAAATTAAATTGAACCGGACCCGGGCCCGGGCCCGACCCGGCCGGGCCGGGTCACAAAAATGCTGAACCGAGCCCGCCCTGCCCCTTCCCCCCGGTTCGGGCCCAGACCCGGTCCCGGACCGCCCGACCGGGCCGGTCCCGGACCGCCCGACCGGGCCGGTCCCGGGCCCGCACAGTACCGGGCCGGGCCGGGTGGCCCGAACCGAATCCAACCCTAAGTGCCAGTGTGCCAGATTTCCAGGTTTCAATCATTCGAGAGTCGAGACTTATATCAGCCAACACATTTCATTTTTCTGGTGTCAGATCGATAGTTTATTTATTTTGGATTCATAAAATTGATTTAAAGGAACGATAAAAAAGAGTTTTTTCCTTTTACAATGTTAAATAAGAAAATATTTACCAAAATAAGGTTAAGTTAAAAGTATTTCACAAAATACTGCTTACCAAAAATGATCATAAACTTCATAAATTAATATAATTAAATCTTTTAATTGTTATATCTTCAAAATTAGTATCTTATAAAAGATAAGAAAGAGTTATGAATTTAGCTATATTTTTTTGTAACAATCTGAGTACAAATAAAAAAGATATACCTCGTAACATTTTCAAAAAATATACTTTCAAAGTATTATTATTTTTTTATTTTTATACATTGAATATTGGTGTTATATGAAAGATAATAAAAGTTATGAATTTTGATATTTTTTTTGTAAGAATCAGAGCACAAATAAAAAAGTTATACCACTTTTAAATAAAAATGGGATTTCTTTTTTGGGTGGGGCCCTATCTCATAATCTCTTCCTCCGGCTTGTTAGTGCGTTACTTCTCATGTATAAACCTCCACTTCAAGTGGCAGCTCTCTTAATTGGAATTGGAATTCATAGCAGTATTTTGATAAATATTTTTTTATTCAGGGTATTTAACATTATATTAGGAAAACATTAAATAAAAAATGGGAAACTTCCCGAAATAGGACTAAAATAGTTTGAAAATTCCAAAATATGACTATTATTTTTTTTATTCCTAAAATAAGTCTAATTGCTGCCATTTTAGAAAATACTGCCATGTTTGAAGTCTGGTACTGTCAAAACATGGCAGTAATTAGTTCTGTTTTGGAAATAAAAACATGACAATACTATTTTGGAATTTCTAAATTGTTTTAGTCCTATTTCGTTTAATATTCTCTAAAAAATTGATTTAAAGGATAAGGGAAAGAAGAAATGAAAGAAGAAAGAAAATAGAAGATGGTTAGCCGACCAGGAAAGTAAGAAGTCTTCCCCAGGTCCCTTGAGAGTGGACTGCTGGATTCGGCGACGGCAATCAACTCTCGAGTCTCGACGGAATCCCTAGTCCAAGTTAATTTTTTAAGCCCAGGGGCCAAAAGCTGAAGTCATACAGTCATAGACGAATCATAGCAAGTATTTTTTCTTCTGAATCTTTAACATACCAATTGGTTCTTAATTCGTTTTAAAATTCGTTTATTTGTTAGTATGTGCGTTCCGCTTCTCATCACCTAGGTTTTTGTTTTTATTGTTTCTGTTTCATCTTTGTTTCGTTTGTCAGATGATGTCTGCTCTGTCCTGTAGAATTATTTTTTTTTAAATTGTCCTGGAGAAACATTGATATTTTATTTTAAATTTTCTTGTTTTGTGGTATTTTTTTGAATTGTTCACTTAATTCTTGGTTCATGTTTAGCTTGGTTTGTGCGTGTTTGTATTGTATTTTGTTTAGGACTTTCAATCCCTTTATCTTATTCATCTTCTTTTTAGAAAAAAACTCTCCTGTGCTTCTTTGGAACTGTAGGTATATAAGCAGAAGCTGTTGATTGAGGAAGTTCTAGATCGACAGTCTTGGTAACTTAGTTTCTTTCTTCATTTGGGGGAATTTAGAATCTCTTATTCAATTTGAATTCACATTAGATTTTGAGTTTTTATTTTTTTCATCATCATTATCATCGTCCCGGTGCCACAAAGGCTCCCACCTACGGTGAGGTAAGGGGGTCGGATGTACGTAGTCTTACCCCTGTACTAAAGCAAAGAGTGACTATTTCCGGATGACCGACCCATAGTGAAAATCGCGTCAAAAATTGCATGGACTGACTGCTGCTTCATAACAAAGAAGTGCAGAGAGTTTAGTAAGCCCGTTTGCTTTATTCCATCATATTCCCAAGCCAAAAAATAGTGAGTCTTTGGCTCCATTGCAAATGATGGATTTTTTTTTTTTCAATTGAATTATAAAACCCTCTAGGCATTGTATCGCTAAAAGCAGATGGATTAGGCAATTCTTTATTCATAATACACTGTAGCATACTCTCGAATAAGGGAATATCAAATGTGCTTCTTTCAATGGCACAAGTCCATTGTTACGCTTTGTGTATACATAAAATTGAATATCACACATTTTTATTGTTGCATCTCTTGTTTCAGCTATTGTTGCACTTTTGCACGTTTATTATGTACAAGTTCTGTAGTGCACCTTTAAACAGGGTGATCCACTTTTATTATTGCGTTTTCATTAAATGGTCTCTGTATTTAAAAGAATGCCATTGTGTTTTGGTATTAAAATGATCTGATCCTTACATTTTTTACAACCCAATGGCTAATTTTGGTTTTTATTTTTCACCTAGGGAAGTACTTCTTATTTGAACCAAAATCTCTCTCACTAAACACACATATAACACGATTGATTATGCTAGTTGAAGTGATCCTTGTTCTCTTTCTAAGAGTTTGGATCTTATATTAAGTGTTCAAAGAATTGGAATAATGAGAATCGTTCACTCATGATAATGTTGCTTAGATAAATATGGTACTTGTAGGATTGCATGTGAAAAATTCAGAGTATAGGTTTAGAAAGAAAAATATTAGTGTATGACTGTGCGAGAAGAATGGTAAGGGTTTGTTCATGGCTTGATGCTTATATTTGTTATGAGGATTGGTGTGACTAAATAATGAATGTTTATTTCTGATTAAGGTTCTCTCTCGTGATAAGGTGGCTACAGGCTAATAATGTTAATTAGAGTTTTGTGTTATGAGCGCGGTCTGGATATCAGATATGGCAGGAAAGAGTCTCATTCTTGGCAGAAACCCTAAAGATTTGACCTTGTCAAGGTCTCATGTTTAAGCTTGGAATTATATTGTATTATTACTGATGTGAAGCCCTTATTTACATTAATCACAAATCTTAGTGTGCATGTAAATAAATCCTAGCCTAGTACAATACTAGGATGTTAACCAAAATAAAATATCCATACTAATAAGAAACTACTAGAAATGAAAATAATATGAAATGAATACTAATGTGAAAATCTAGTCTTATATCATTTTGCTAGCCTAAAACAAACCCTATGATATAGATTAGGTCAGTGACTTTGTATTCTTTCAATCTTCCACGTGTTTTTGCCTTTGTGTAATATACATATATTCCTGCCCCAAATCATAAGATACTTTTAGCTTTTAGCTCATTTTTGCCAAGAAAACTACCAGACCCAGGGGCGGATCCAAGGGGGGGTCAGGTGGTCAGCTAACCCCGCTGAAAATGTTAGAGTATAGAGCTCTGAAATACCTTCGATTTGATATATTATGCCCCCCGTAACTCATTACGAGTAAAAAGTTATGACTTCTGGAAAATCAGCACTATCTAAACGTAAAATCAACAAAATTTGGTGTGTAATATTGATTATTTTCCCAAATTTTAAAAATAGCGTATAATTAACTTATTACTTGCGTGACATGACTTAGAGGCAGAGCAAAGAAAATCTATCTTATTGCTATGAGTGCCTATTTATTTAAACTACATATGAAACATTCAACTCAGACATTGTCTAAAAACGATACATCATTTTCATTTTGTATATAGTTGATTTTCGACCCTCTAGGCCATTTTTCTGGCTCCGCCACTGACCAGACCAATACACTTTTTCTCAGGTGTATCAAATGTGTCAAATCATTTCCTTAAGTTGAGAAAGAGAGGTGGATTAGAAAAACGGATTATTTTTGAAAGGTCAAACTAGCATTTTCTTTACAAGCTCAAGTACTCATTTCTAAACTCTACTTCTTTAGCTGTCACTTACTAGTTGCCACAATAAACTTTGTGCATGCATATTAATGATTAACCAGTTTGGTTTACACGCTTGCCTGCTAAGTTTAGATTATGATGTGAATAACAGAAAAATGGAAAGTGAAATAAGTTAACAAGTTCTGTAAAAATCATAAAAGAACACTACTCATGTTTTTTTTTTTACAGAAATACTCCTTAGTATTTATACTATTATGTGGAAATAGTATAATTAGTAGAAATACTCCGTAGTAGTTTCATATTTTCATAATTGTGGAAATTGCAAAAGCAGTGTTGACAGGATATTGTAAACAGTCTTGAAACTTTTTATTTAAAAGGTTTCAAGGGTTTCGGTTTCTGAAATGTGAAAACACTTCCAAACTCTTTCCAGTGTGCATCATAGCGTTATGTTTTGGATATAAATTCTTTCTATTGATCGGTTTTTGCTAGTGATCAGAGTATGCAATTATGCATAGCCATAAAGAGATAAGACAAATTCATCATCCCCGATCTACCTGAGTTATTGCTGTTGGTTTATGTTACTGAACTTTACATGTCATCAATATACTCATATCAAGCTTCATAGCTGCACTTAAAACAATTGTAGGTTCATATTATGGGGGTCTGTTGCATATCTCATTAGCTTGATCACCCTTCCCATTGGCGTCTTCTGATAGATCACTTTTTTTGCTGGAATGAGTAACATATTTGTAAATCCTTATGTTAAATAAAAATCATTACTGCTTTTATGTACATAAAAAGGTGATTAATTATGCTAATATTGTGTGAAGGTGTGTTTGTCACCTTGTTGTCAGTTTTATACTCTCAACTTCCCTACTTCCTGTGTGTCTTATTTAATTAACAGGAACACGGAAAAAATTATGGATGTAATGTTTAAAGATTGCCCTGAGTCGTATTGCTGATTCTGGGTAAGAGGTGGGTAGATGCAAAATAGGAGATGGATCTTGGGCTTTGTTTCTTAATAATCTAGTCCAATATTTTCATGTTATTTTCAAAATACCGCATTCCTGAATAAAAGAAAAATAACTCATGTGGTGTCTTGTCTCCTAAAGGCATGTTTGGTTCTGGGATTTTGGAGGGCAGGGGAAGGGAGAATTGATTTTTATTTTACTTATTTATTTCTATTTGTTAGATTTACATCTGAAAGGAACTATATGATTGGTAAAATCACATAATTCTATGTTGTTTTTTATTTTTATCTTGACTTAATTTCCAATCATCTAAATGAACAAATTATTTGACAAATAATAGTACACCTCCTCTTATCTTACCTCCGAAATCCCCATAGCAAACCAGCCATTAGTGTCTCACTTTGTATTAGCAAAAAAGGTGGGATCATTTAACAGGTCATCAATTGATGTTTATCAATCGGATTGAGATTCATTCTATGGAGTATAATTTTTATGATGAATTCTGAGTAAGAGTAAACCAAAAATCTACCGAGTCCGAATGTGTACTGTAAGAGGGATTACAAGAAAGAAGCACATGAGGTAGTAAAGAATTGAGAATTATATGTCTTTATGGTGAATCAGTGATTGTAATTGTTCCTCTATAAGAGGGGGGGAAAATGGGAACGATCAACTCAGACATATAGTCTTGTCTATTCTTTGGAAGGAGGTCCTTTACTCCCTTTTTCCATGTATTCACGCTTTATTTCATCTATGTGGCTTATCTGGTTTATCCCTCCTAAAATATGCCATTCGATTAAGTAGTAGATGTTTTGATGGTTACTATTATTGAAGTTCGGGATGATTGTTTATTCATGATATATTACTCTATTTTATCCTCTTTGCTGATAGAAAGATGATATTTCAGGTTCCATTAGAGAGGCATTGAGTATTACAACACTCATATAACCATAGTACCATTCCTTCAAAATGAACCGCCAATATGGCGAAGATCATGTAAGCTTCAAAACCTATAGCTTGTTTGGTGGGTAGAATTAATTGAAATGGTTGTAAGCACTGTATTTTGCTGATATTATTGATGAAATTACTAAATCTAGGCTGAATAAGCTAAGATTTTAAGTGAGATAATAACTAAAAATGAGGGGCTGAAGCATCATTTATCATCATTTCAGCCATTTTTCTCATGATTAACCAATTCAGCTCATGCTTTTAAATGTGTTAGTGTGACGGGTAAGAATACTCATTCTGCTAATAAGCAATAAGCTAATTATTGCTACACCGCTACCTAATGGGGCCACCTTTTAATCCTTTTATGGTAGAAATTATTGTTGGTAAATCCAAATAATGAAGTGACAAAACATTTGCTATGTTTTTTAGGGTGAGGTGACTGTGATGGGATTTGAAGTTCCAAGATCACCCGATTCAAGCTACAACAATGCTTATCCCGGGAACGAAGACGAGGGGCGGGACCCGCCATCATTCCCTCCACACCTTCACCAGACCGTGCTAAATGAACCACCAGCAAAAAGTGACCAATGCGGAGCGCCCCTCACGTCACCGCAGAATGTGGTCCTAAATCATCTTTACATTGAGAGCAGCAACAAAGAAACCCCGAGAACTGTCGTGGCTTTAGGTGCAACACAGCGTTTCCGTTCGAAATATGTTACAGTCGTGCTTTACAAACCTGTCCCTCGAAGGGTAGGCGGTAGTGTCTGAAGTGAAATTGTTGCAACTTTTTCTCTTTTTAGATACCGGAGTTTCACCTTTTAGTTTTACACCGCATTCAAGATCTTAACAAGTTAAGAGTATTATTACCTTTTGTACTTAGTATGATGTATATGGAGAACGGAGACTTGCTAGATAAACCGTATTTAGTGGACATCTTCTATGGTGGCAGTGGCGCATTACAGTGTCCAGCAATGATTTAAGAGCAATAAAAACTTTTTTTTGGTCTTCTTTGAATCTTTGGTACCAAATATTAATGATGTATAATGATTAATGATGCATATTGTTTATATAGAATGATTGTAATTGAAGCCATCCTGAATACCATGCCAATGAAAGGTTTTGATTCTTTGAACCTTCAACATGCTCGGGAATAAAATATTTTCATTTTGTAAGTCGTAAGTCGTAACTTGATCATTTTACTGATTGTTAAATCAATCCAGACGCAAAAAAAGCGCAATTGATATTTTCTAAGTAATAAACATTACAAATAAAACAACGTTTTTATCATGGATTTATCTCTCAGGTCAAGAAAAACTTTTGTCACGGATAGGCATGGACCGGGCCCGGGCGGGTTCGGGCGTGCTTTTTTTTCCGGAATGTTGGGCTTGGAACCGACCCGGGTTGATACCGGGTTCGGGCCGGGCCAGTCTGGGTCGGTTCAATGTTTTTTTGGATTTCTAATTAACCCCCGACCCCCCCCCCACCCCCACCCCTCAAACCTCCCCAAAACACCTAGCCGGGCCAGCCCTACCCAAGGAAAAGAAAAAAATTGAAAAAAAAAATGAACCGGGCCCATCCCGGACCACCCCGGCCGTTTCATGAAAATCAAGGCCCGCCCAAACCAGGCTAAAGTTCGAAACCAACCATCCGGGTCCGGTCCAGGCTCGCACAGTAGCGGGCCGGTTTGGTTCCCGGTCCAGTTCGGCCCGGTTGGGTACATCCCTAGTCACGGATGGCTTGACAAATTTATCATGTGAGAGAACTCGAGCTTCTAGCTCATTACATGTGTAGTGAAGATCTGAATCTAAAATGAGCTTCTAGCTCATTAGAAGCTCATTACATCTAGAGTTCTCTTTAGATCCAAATTTACCTTTGTCACAACTTATATAAGATCTTTCATGTGAGAGATCTTGATTTTCAAGTCAGGTGAATTTGAGATGATTTTCTCAAATGTGTAATCAAATGATGACACATGTAATGAGTTAGTTAAGAGCAAACTTGTTGGGAACAGCTCTCAAAAAAGAGAAAAATTGTAGCTGCTTTTCTTCATTTCTTTTGTACTAGCCGTGTGGGTCACCCTCCCGTGGTTCTAGGACGTCATTCTTGGATAATTGCTATTTTTAGCAGGTTAGACCCAAAATAATATTTGGGCTGTCGACCGCTCTTACTTTGTACCGGGGGTTATATATCTTTATTTAAGAATGTTGGGCCCCAATATCAATAAGATGACCCAATTAATTATATGGAAGTCCATTACTATTATACGAGCCCAAACAATAATATGATTAATCACACTTTACGATAATAGGGAAATTCAATACATAAGTTTTGAAATTTAGCTTGAATTTCAAGGACGTTCGGGTGCGGTGTCACAATAATGGTAGCCCTGACATATATATATATATATATATATATATATATATATATATATATATATATATATATATATATATATATATATATATATATATATATATATATATATATATATATATACGTATATATATACGTATATATATATACGTGTATATATATACGTATATATATATACGTATATATATACGTATATATATATACGTATATATATATATACGTATATATATATATACGTATATATATACGTATATATATATATACGTATATATATATACGTATATATATATACGTATATATATATACGTACATACGTACATATGTACATACATACGTACATATGTATATGCATATGTATGTATATACATATGCATATGTATATATATATATATATATATATATATATATATATATATGTATATATAGATATGTATATATATACATATGTATATATGTACAAATGTATATATGTATATATATGTATATATATATATATATATATATATATATATATATATATATATATATATATATATATATATGATGGAGTATATGGGTCTGAGCCCCCGGACCCACATACTCGGAAGAACAGAAAGCACAAGACACAGAGTGGCGCCCTCGTCGGCCAAGACGCCCCCGTCGGCCGAAAAGGGGCCAACTCAGATTATGGTCCTGAGCCCAAGGAACCCGGGTGCCCTCGTCGGTCGTGCCCTCGTCGGCCACGCCCTCGTCGGCCACGAACAACTCCCAGAACCGGATTTTGCACTTACTCATTTGTATAGCCCATTAGTGGCTTTGTATTCGGCCCAGTAGCGGTCCAGTTGTAAGTGGGCCTCCCAAGCCCAAGGCTTGGGAGCCCAGCCCGTATTTTCTCTATAAATACTCCCCTTGGAAGTAGTTATAGGGGTTACAAAATCATTCTATTGAAGCATATTATTGCACTTCTCTCTCTAGCTCTCACTTCTCTCTAGATATACTCTATCATTTGGTGCTCTCGTTGAGAGCTAGAACAATCAAGTTAGCACCCTTCGTCGCTACCAAGCACAGCTAACCACTGATCATGGGGAGAACTAAGTCAAACCGCAACCTCGTCAGCAAAGCCATCCCTGAGGACCAAGAGCCCAGGGAGCACGATGAGGACGCCACGGCCGACCAGGTCGGCGGAGGGGACCTCTTCCAGGAGGCCTTCAACCTCACGACGGACCTCCGCAACCAACTCAACGGCGGAGTCCCCGACGCCCGCCTCGGCTTGGACAAGAAACGAGCTGAGAAGACGGACCACGCCCCGGCCCAGCCTATGGCCGCGGCCTCTCCGTCCGTGGATCCGCAGGTCCAGGCCGCGCTGTCGGTCATCATCGCCAGCCTGGCTCAGAACCCCACCGTCCTCAGCGCACTCTTGCCAAGGACCGGGGGGAACGTCACTCAACCTCCTCAGCCCCAACCGTTGGCCGTCCGGATAGGCAACGATGAGGGGGTGGTGCCCCAGGACACGGCGTCGTCCCACTCCCACCCTGCTTCCCCTCTTCGGCCTGGGCAAACCCCAGCGCGTGGAAAAGCCTCTGCCTTCAATAGGCTAGGTGACACGCGCCGTCGTCCGGTTTCGGAGAGGATGGCGGGACGGATTGGTGAGCCTCGTCCTGGCTCGCCGAGGGAAAGCTTGGGGTCTGTGTCCCGGACAGCGGACCAGCCCCGCCCGGACAAGGGCAAGGGAAAGTTGCACGAGGATGACGTGCGCCACCAGATCAACGCGGCTCACAACGAGCGCATGAGGAACCAGCCGGGCGCCGCTGCGGCCGCCAGGGACCCCCGGGACGAGGTCATCGCCCAGCTGTAAAGGAGGCTGGCTCAGATGGAGGCCAAGCAGTCGGCCAACATCCCTACGGCCGGCGCCTCCAACGACCCCGGCCTCAACGCGCTCATGAACAAGGTTAGCGCCCTGGAGAGGGAGCTGGCCGAGGGGCGAGGTGACCCCATCATCCAGGTCAGGACCAGGACCCCTTTCACCAACAGGGTCCTCTCGGCCCCCATCCCGGAGAAGTACAGGGGGAACGCCATCAAGTCCTACGATGGCCGATCAGACCCCCAGGAACACTTCAGCCGTTACCAGAACAGCATGCTGATGGTGAACGCGTCCGACGAATACCTCTGCCGTTGGTTCCTCTCTACTCTCGAGGGGCCAGCGTACGAGTGGTTCAACGCGCTCCCCGAAGGGAGCATCGACTCATGGCAGGATCTCGCCTAGCGCTTCCTCACTCACTTTGCCGGGAGGAAGCGCGCGAAGAAGTATTTCACCCACCTCCTCTCCGTCAAGCAGCAGCACGAGGAGTCCCTCCGATCATTCATTGATCGGTGGACGAGGGAAACCGAGGAGGTCGAGGGGGCCGATGAGCGCACCCTCCTCGCCTTGTATCAGGGAGCCCTCCGCAGCTCCCCATACGCCAGGAGCCTCATCACCGACCCCCCAAGGTCGTACGCCAAGGCGCTTCAGCGCGGAGGCTTGTATGCCGACGCCGACGAGCTCCACAATCACAAGAGAGAGGGGGGCCATCCCTCCAAGAAGACAAATCCTTCGCCGGCTTTGGGTCCGTCCCCGACCGGCCAGGGTGCCCAGGGCCGTCACGGCTCTGTTGGACAGAGTAAGAAAGATCGCCACTGGCGGCCGAGGTTGGAACGGCCGGGGGTAACCCTCACCCACCCGGTCGGCACCATCCTCGATTATGCCGAGAAGCACGGCCTCATCGAGCAGGCTCCTCGGCCGGCAGAGTAGATCCTTGCCATCCAGCAGGGCGGCACGTACTGCCGGTTCCACAAGAACTCGTCGCACAACACCGACGATTGCATCACACTGAAGAAGGCCATCGAGCGCCTTATTCGCCAGGGGGAACTCTCCCAGTTTGTCAAAGGTGGCCCACGCAAGAACACTTGGGTAAACACCGGCAAACATGGGGGCGAACCCTCTGCGAAGAAGCGGGAGATTGGTAGGCTCAGCGACGACGAGGACTTCGAAGAGCCCCCGCCAAAGAAGAATCACATCCACCTCATCGTAGGTGGGAACACTGGGGGGGGACTCCGCCACTCAGAGAAAGAAATGGGCCCAATCCCTTTACATTGGGGAGGTGTCCCACGTTCCCCCCAGCCGAAGAGGCAGCGAGCGGAGGCGATCACCTTCACCGACAAGGATCTGCCTCCGGGTACGGAATCACACAGGGACGCCCTCGTCATCCGATGTGAGATCGGTGACTCCATCATCCACCGTACTTACATCGATACGGGGAGCTCCGTCAACGTGATGTACCTGGACACCTTCAAGCAGCTGAAGCTGGACAGAGCTCTGGTGAAGCCGATCAAGACCCCGTTATCCGGCTTCACCGGGGACTCTATCGACGCCGAGGGCACGATAGTCCTCCCCGTGGAGGTCGGTGACGGCCCCCACCACGCCAGAATTAACATGGAGTTCATGGTGGTCAACCTCCAGTGCGCCCACAACCTGATCTTGGGGCGGCCAGCGCTGGAGGACTTGGAGGCCATCATCTCCATGAAGCACTTGTGCCTGAAGTTCCCCACCAACGACGGCATCGGCTACGCCAGAGGAAACCAGAGGATAGCCAGGGCATGCTACCTCAAACTAACGAGGCCGGCCGAGAGGGAGGGCCAGAGGATAGACACCATCACGGCCGCCGTCGCCATGGACGAGGAAAGGCCACATGCTGAGCCGGCCG